AGTGTCAGCCAAGGTCTGACTCACAGTGTGTTCAGTGGGTCCCTGTATCCCTGTGGTCAATTCCTCAGTTCCAGAATGCATAACTGAAATAGATATACGTAGTAGTTGACAGAATTCCTATGTTGGTTCCCTAACTTGTGTTAGGGGTATCATGGTGGGAAAAGCCAAGTAGGAGCCATTAGAGTTGCCTTTACCTAGAAAAGCAGTAAATCAAAATCAATATCAAATCATTGGAGAGCTTGCAGAGATTAGTGTGGGAGACTGCCCTGTTGATTATGCCCAGAGCAAGCTGTAAGCAGTGTGGGTTGTAAAGAATCAACCCTACACATGACTTACTTTAATAAATGAATCAGGCCAAAGCCTTTGTGATTTATCAGGGCACTGTGGGCAATGATTACCATTTTCTCCCCAACAAAACAATAGAAGAGACCAGAGATATGGTCCATGAGGCTGTGGGGGTAATACAGCAGCTGTGGTAGTCAGGGTTTACAAGGAAAATAATATAGGACACATAATTTATAGGATTACTTAATAATATTCACCCAAAGAGTCAAATGCAAAAGAGTGTAAGAAATCTGTCCACATACAAGAGGCCAAAAAAATCCAGATGAGGGCCCAGATCTCGTGGCGATGTCTTTTGAGTCCTAGAGCCCGTGGCAATGACCCCACAAGATCAACTGGAAGCCTAGAACCCATGACAATGTCTGATACAAGTTTATATCAAGGATCTGCACTGGGAAGGCCCAAACGTCAGTGATGAAACTAGAAAGTCTGCACCAATGGGATGAAAGATCTGTGTCAGCAAGGAAGAGATGCTCAAGGTAAGGAACAAGAGCCCCCCTGAAAAGTACCACCGCCATCCTCAGTGACAGCAAGGACCCAGGCTCCCCCAGTGATGAAACAGCGGAGTTCATGTCAGGTAAGCAGCAGGCAAGCCACCCCAGGAGTCAGGTGCACACCATCTTCCCTGCAGTTGTCTTTTATATTGCTGGCAACAATTCTCAGGCGGGCCCTCCACACCCATCACCACACTTCTTCACTTCAGCTGGCTGTTCCAAGTTGCCCAGTAGTTAACCCACCACAGCAGCAAAGAACAAGTGACTGTTCCCAAACTCCTTTCTCAAGATCGTACTTTATATTCCTTGAAAAGTAAGTTAGACATTAACCACGACTTTTTCCTCGTCTCTTCTGTTCTTCATGCAAGAATGTTTTGTCCCCTCCTTTACATGCCCTGCCCGGGTCCATGTCTTCTCTCCAGCAACCACATGTGCCGCCTCACCCCATTCTATAGATTGTACAACTGATGAAAACCATGGTCTGGCTGCTCTGGGGTCTTTACTCAGCACTGACCATTGACCATTCCAGTTCCCCATTTCACTTTTATCTTGACTCTGATCTTCGCAGACTTGTGTTGTAGCACCAAACAGGAGACTGAAGTCTTTGCAGGGGTCTCCAATAGTTAGTATCATCATGAAGGACTTGAAATATATAGGGGTTGTTGATTGCACCACAACCCTATTTAATTCTCTAATTTGGCCTGAAAAAAAAAAAAAAAAGATGGGTGGATCTTGGAGAATCCCAGTGGATTACCATAAACTGACCAAAGTGTTCACTCCAACTGCACGTGCTGTGCCACATATTGTTTCCTTGCCTGGACAGATGAACATATGTCCTGGCATCTGCTAGGCAGCTACTGATTTGTTAAGTGACTTTTTCTCTATACCGATCTATAAGGCACATGAGAAGCAATTTGCTTTAGCTGACAAGGTTAGTAATTCACCCACCTGGGTTATATCAACTCTCTATCCCTGTGTTCATGGAAATCTTGATCATCTTTCTCTTCCACAGAGCTTCACACTGGTCCATTATATTGAGAAGATTATGTTGGCTGAATCAAGTTAAGCAGGAGGTAGTGACCACTCTGCACTAATTGGTAAAGTATTTTTACATCAAAGATGGGAAAGAAATCTTACTAAAATTCAAGAGTTGTCTTCCTCAATGAAATTTCCTGGAATACGGTGGTATGGAACACGCAAGGCTTTCTCTTATAAAGTGAAGGACAGATTGTTGCATCTGGCGCTCACCACAACCAAAAAAGACACTGTCCTTTCTCAGACATAGGTGACAACTAACTGTAAGGATCGTGCTAGATATGGTTTAGCTATTTGCCCCAGGAAAAAAGAGAAAGTTGTCTAAGTGATGAGGCTGTTATTTGTCACTCATACATTTATTTCCTGTTTATCCCAAAGCTATGATATGTACCATTTTATAATTGAGGATATAGATGTTGGCAGGTTGAGAATCACACCTAATGACTCATAGTTAATAAGTGGCAGACACAGACTCAAATTTAGGCAGTCCAACTCCAGAAACTACATTCTTTATAAAACTAACTGACATATTCCTTTTACTAGATAATATTTAGTCTTTTTTTTAGTTGTAAGGAAAGGATAACAATTTTATAACTGTAAGTAATGCAAAACCATTATTTTAGAAATTTAAAAAATTGAGATTTAGAAATAGAATATCTAGCGGAAGTCAAATTATTGCTGTTCATGCAATAAAAAGTAACACTTAAAATATATTTAAAGTCTAATAACATGTCATCCTTCTAAAAACTAACTTCCTAAACAATATAGCCAATCATTAATTTTTCTTTCTTTTTTTCTTTTGTACTGGTGACTGAACACAGAGTCTTTATACTAAGCTGTATCTCTATCCCTTTTCTAAAATTTTTAATTTGAGACAGGGTCTTGCTAACTCTCAGCTTTGCACAGGCTGGGCTTGAATGTGTTCTCTCCCGCGGCAGCCTCCCAGGGCCTGGGGTGACAGGTTTGCCCACCTCGCTACAATTGTTCTCTGCTGTCGTCTCTCCCCTTTTGTCCTGAAGAGGAAGTTGCTGTACAGAGCAAGCCTGCCACCATGCGGTGTGAACTCAGACCCAGCCCCTGTTAAATGTCCCATCCCCGTTTATTTTGTTGTAGTATTTTTATTAATAAACCTACCAAATAAGAAATTTATATTCAGCTACAGTATTTTTTTTTTTTGTCTTTTTCTCTTTTATCGGTACTGGGGATCGAACTCATGACTGTCTGCTTATAAGGCAGGCGCTTATGCCGCTGAGCTAAATCTCCAGCCCCCAAGCTACAGTATTTTTATAAATTTAAGTGCTTTTCAAGTTCAATGTACATCTTACAAACATTTGTAAAATCATCTCAGTATTTCCAAACCTGCTACAGGAGTAACCGATGTTTAAAATGTAATCCAGTGCTAGGTATTGGGGTACGCACCTATAATCTCAGCAATCTGAGGCAGGAGGATCACAAATTCCAGTCGAGCCTGGGAAATTTACTAATTTATCAAGACTTTGTCCCAAAAATTAAGAAAGGAGAATGGGGATATAGCCCATGGGGAATAACTCAAGTACATCTATAAAAGGATTATTTTAGTGCTTCAAAAACAAGGAAAACATCTCAAAATAGGATTTAGCTCAATTCACTCAAAACAAACCAATGAACTTGCCGGTGGGGGTTAATCTCAGCAATCTCAGCAAGGGGGCCAAGACAAGAGGATCACTGCAAGTTTGAGGCCAATTTGGGTTCAAGGCCAGTCTGCACTACACAGTGAGACCCTGTCTCAAAAAACAGAAAGCAAAACAAAAAGGTTATCAGTGAGCCATACTAGAATTTAAGCAAAATTTCTAATCACACAAATAAATAATGTGAAGAACTGCCCCCAAATGGATGAAATATCATCCCAAAATGGATGAAATATCTGCCCAAAAGGAAAGTCAGATTTATGATCTACATCCTCTAATGTAGTGAATTTTGTGTGTAGACATATTTTAAAAGCTAGCTATATAAATTTACTCCCATCATTCTCGATGAATTATATTCATTTGTTTATAAGGAACGCAAATGACAATTACTATTTCTATTTCCCCACAATCTAATCTGAAGGGTCTCAAATTTTAAAAGGATGTATGTTAAAAAACCAACAGGAAATATATATATACATATATATTACACTTTGTGTCTCACTTATATTTATGTTATTCTTATGCTGAATTTTCTAATAAAGCACTAGAAGTGTTTCCACAAAACCAGCATATATATACTATATATATGCATAGCATACATTTCTTTAAATTTAATATATATTATATTTTAATATATATTTAAAAAATTTTACCCCTCCCATTGAGAGGCAAAACATCAATCTAGCCCAGGGTCATCACGTTGTGATAGGCCAGTTAGTCTGGAAAGCCCACGTGGAGGAACTCCAGCTGACAGTCCAGCTGAGTGCCCAGCTGTCAGCCGCATCAGCCACCACCATGTGAGTGGACCTACTGGACACCCAACTTAACAGGAGCCTTTGGATGGGTGCGTTCCTTATTGACCACTGACTGCAGCTGCCTGGAAGACCGTAAATGAGAACTGCTTGATAAAGCCATTCCTGAAATCTTGATCCTCAAAATCATGAGCAAAACAAAATTGTTGTTTTAAGCCACTAAGTTCTAGAGTAACTTATTTCATGACAATAATAACTGAAACAGATACAACTTAAGAAATGAGACCTCCTGTTCCTCCTTTTACTTAACATTCAACTAGTGCTTGGAGAAGTAAGTCAGAAGTAAGTGACATGAGAAGTCTAATATCGGAAGGGATAAACGTGACTGTCACTATTTGCAGACAATATGGTTGTCTCCATAAAATCAAGAGAAACCACTGAAAAACACTTAGAACAAAAAATTCAGCATAAGAATAATTTAACATAACTATAAGCGAGACACAAAGTGTAATAACTGACTAGAAGATGTTGGTGATCCCTCTCTTTAAATTCACCCCTGCCCCCCTTGATGGCGCACCGCGACCTAAGCGAACTCTTGTGTTTTCCACATTCCTTGTCTGTGGGTAAAATTCTTTCTATCCCCCGCATCACTGGTCCTGTCTGTTGTCTTGCCGGCTGCTGTGCCTGTCTAGGGACGGGTGAAACTCTCTTCCAGCCTCAGGTGGTTCCTCTCCACTCTGATGTTGTGCAGGTTTGTCAGCCTGGCCTGCAGACCTCTGGCTGAGACACCAACCGTGACGACCCGGCAAGTATACGCTGAGAAGCTCCTTTCGTTCCCTTGCAGAAAACCTTACTTCTCGTTTATAACTGAGCGGCCAGGGCCCCTCTTGGTGTGACCCGAGGGCGGCAGAGGGGACAGCCCCACTGCAGCTCCCCCAGCTGCTGCTAGCTCGCAGGCTTGCCCTTCTCAGCTGAACTGGCTGCTCAAGGGACCAAGTCTTCCGTCCTGCAGGCGGCGCCTCTGCTTCCCCTGGCAGCTGAGGCTTGCAGGGCGGCTTGAAAGTCCCCGTCCCCTTTCTCCTCAGGTCCAGTCTGGCTGTCTCAGGGCCTGCACCGGTGGCACCTGAGGCAGAGGCTCGTCTTCCTCAGCAGGACCCCGAGGTGAGCGCCCACCTCTCTGTGAGCTTAAAGGGTTCTTGTGGGTGGATACTGCATCTCTGGGAGGGGCCAGAGCATGTTCCTCTCACATGCTCTCACCTTCTGAGTCAGCCTGGAAATGTGTGTTTAAAAATGGGTCCAAGTTTAACCCTTGAGCTCTCAAAACAATCTCATTTTTCTAAACAATACTGCTCCTGGATCATGAGCTTTGTTCCCATAGTGGCACCCTAAATTATAACAACAGCCTGCATTTACATTTTTTTGCTAAAATATGGAAAGGTCTCTAAAAATGGAAAGGTCTCTAACGTTCCTTATGGTCAGACCTTCACGGCCCTGTCATAGGGTCTCTAACCACAGCAGGGGTTTTCTCCAAGTTCTAAAATTAGGGGATCTAGTGTTCCTTTTTTTGGCTTTTCTCTAACCCCAACTTTTTCCTTTTGATTTTTTTCCCCTATTAGAGACTTCTGGCTTTTTAAGGGCTTTCATAAAAACTAGTTGTACAGGTAGTCAAGAATTACCAAATTCATCTAAAAGATAAAAAACTGCTAGGCTCAAGGTTTATGTTAAATTTACAAAAAATTTTTAAAAGTTTGGTAACATAAAGTTTATATGATTTAAGTTGATACACATTTTTTTGTGTATTAAATGCTGGGTTACCATGGCTTAAACATGATTGGAAAAATAAAAGCAAAATTATCTTTAAAATTACTAACATATATTTTGCTTAGATCATTATCCAGTCAGGATAATATATCTTTGTTATCAGTAGATGGATTAGTTCTTTTTAGAAAAAAGAAGACAATTTTCTTGAAGTTAGAGAAGGAGAAAACAAGATATGACAGTTACTCTGTTTTGTTTCATTTTGTCTTTTTGAGACATGGTTTCATGATGCAATTAAAACTGGCCTTGAACTCACTTTGTAGCCCATGCTGGTCTCAAACTCACAGTAATCCACCTGCCTCAGCCTCCCAAGGGCTGAGATTACTGGTACATGCCACCATGCCCGGCCACATAGCTATTCTGGGAGAATTTGTAAGTAAATTGCTCTAGATAGATTAATTTTAATTAATACAGGTCTTACTTTGACTTAGTTGTAAACACCCAGTGAGAATGTATAACCAGGAAGTAAAATAATTATTAATAGTATAAACAGCTAGCCAGGTGTGCTGGTGCACTTCTGGCTAATCTCAGCACTTAGGAGGCTGAGGCAGGAGGATCATTGTGAATTTGAGACCAGCCTGGGCTACAAAATGAGCCCAAAGCCAGCTTGAACCACATAGCAAGATCCTGTCTCAAAAAGACAAAAAAAAAAAAAAAAAAAAGTATAAACAGCTAGACTAGGCATAAAAGGAGACTTCAAAGTATCAGCTGTTAACAGTCTCCAATTTACTTCTTCCAGAATCCAGAAATGATCCATATTTCAAATGTAAATAAATTTAAGGTTTTTTTCCTTTGGTTAATAATTTTATATATGACTTAAAATGTTAACTGTGCTAGTCTAATATTTTGTTCTCATAAATAATTTATGAGTTGTTAAAACTCGTAAGTGAATATAAATAAGATTAATACTCATAAATATTCACAATAACATCTAAATCATCAGTTACTAAATTCAAATATTCTTGGTTTAAATTTTAAAAAAGATATTTAGTGCTTATTAAATGTTTTTTTTTTTCGTTTTTATCAGTACCGGGGATCAAACTCACGACTGCCTGCTTGCAAGGCAGGTGCTTATGCTGCTAAGCTAAATCCCCAGCCCCTATTAAATGTTTTTGAGTCATTAATATTCATAAATGTTTAAGATTTTTGGTACTGCAGATGAATTCAGCTTTGCACTTGCCAGGCAGGCACTTATGCCGCTGAGCTAAATCCCTGGCCACTTATAAAGTTTTATAATAATTTTCTGTTAATATTTTACAAAAATATGACCTTTAAATGACGTCATGAACTGGGCATGGTGGCATACGTCCATAATCTCAGTACTCATGTGGCTGAGGCAGGAGGACTGCCATGAGTTTGAGGCCAACCTGGACTACAGAGTGAGACCTTGACTCAAAAAATAAAGAACAGAGCTGGGCATGGTGGCTCATGCCTGTAATCCCACCACTCAGAAGGCTGAGGCAGGAGGATCGTTGCGAGTTCGAGACCAGCCTGGGCTACAAAGTGAGCTCAAGGCCAGCCTGAACTGCACAGTGAGACCCTGTCTCAAAAAGACAAAAAAATTAAATTAAATTAAAAAATAAAGAACAAAAGAAAACGTAGAGTATGTTAAGATGGTAGGCTACCACCTACTGGACAAATCAGAGACTGACTCCTACTGTAACGTTGAGCGTGGTTAATAACAGGTAGTTCTCATGTGCTCATACTTCATATTTGAAGGGCCTCAGTATCCAGACAGGACTGTCACAGGATTAAGACCTACTGCTTCTGACTTCAGGGTGAACAGCAGAGAAACAGCCCCTCTGAGATTTGGGGTGCAGACGCCGGAATACAGCAATGGGAGAAAGAGAAGGAGGGAAAGGGGTTCTTGGGAGCCAGCAGATCTGAGGTGAGAACTGAAGCCCAAGAGGACAGTGAAGAGAGATCTTCACACAGAAGAAGGAGGTGTAGGCAGTGCTTCCTCCCTGGTCCTGACTCACTATGAGGGAGGGCAGCCTGGACAGCAGACCATGGTGACTCCTGGCAAGCCCAGAGGCATCCGTGGAGAAATTCCCCAGTGGCGTGGAGCAGCGCTGTGGTGGACTTCAGTGGCTGGTAGGTTACTCGGGTCTAGATATCCTCCAGGAGAGGGCAGTCGGCTATCTGCGAGATGGGCCAAGTAAACTCTGAACTCGGAGGAGCTGCAGGCTGGCTCCACCTAGCACCTCCCAGCGTCGGGGAGAAGCAGAACCAAGTTCAGGTTGGCAGGAGGTCAGGGAGCTGAGTCCAAGCCCGCAGAAGGCACACGGAGTGTTGCAGGCCGAACAAATCAGGTTCCAGCCTCGCAGCCGGAAAGTAACCTGAATTCCAATGGACTTAGGCAGGCAGGCGTGCTGGGGTTATCCCAACACTGCCCCAGATCCGTCACTCCCTTGCTGGGAATAATCTGGGCTCAATCTTCCAACCCTACCGACGGTGACAGAGACTCGCCCTGGAATGCATTTTTGTTTGTTTTTTTACTTCTTGTTCTTGTTTTTCCGAGTGTAGTTAACCGTGTAGTTAGTTCTGTGCATCTGTTCTGTCTTGTATTTCTTTCTTCCTTTCCCTCCCGTAGTCTTCACCAGTTCCCCTCAGTTTGTGTCGTCCTCCTCTGTCCTCCAGCCTCGCTTCCAATCTCTTTCTCTTCTCTTATTTCTCTATTTTCCCCTTCACGTGTTTTACATTTTGTCTGCTGAGTGTAAAGTCACCATATCGCAGGCATAGTTACTGCATATTTTCTGGTTTGCGTTACGTTCTGGTTTGTGTTAACCAGAAATCCAGTTCATACAGTTAACAGTGGCAAAGTGTTAGCACAGTTTGTTAGTTTCTAGGATGAGCTCGATGCTGTCATTACTACTGACTGTATTACTTCAGCCAAGCTGACAGAGTTGTTCGGACAAGTTGTTCTTCTGCCGTCCTAAGACTGAGTATACACAATACTATACATCTTGGTCCAGAAACCATGGACTAGGCCAAATGGGTGGCCAGGCAGATCAGGAAAAGCCAAGATGAAGCTTAGCCCCTGCCTGTGAGCCAGCTGGAGTGTGGATTGGAGAGAACAAGGAAACAAGCTGAGCCCCCATCTGTGAGCTGGCCGGGGCATGGGCTGGGGAGAGGAGACCAGCTCCCCCACTCCTGTGAGCAGCCAGCTGGTTCAGAGGAACTGTGTTGTTTGACTGACTTTGTAAGCCTAAACTGAGCAACTGTTTAAGCAACAATATGCCATATAGTAACTATTGTAAATTAAAAAAAAAAAAAACAGGCAGTAACTGCTCATCCCTGATAAACTGAAGAGGAAGGATCTGCCAGTAGACTTAAAACCCAAGAGCCGGGCTGGGGATTTAGCTTAGCGGCATAAGTGCCTGCCTTGCAAGCAAGTGGTTGTGAGTTCGATCCCCGGTACCGATAAAAACAAACAAACAAACAAAAACTCAAGAGCCAGCCATCCTGAAAGTCATCTCTGAGAAGCAGTCATTTCCTAAGGGTTCTCAATACTAGCAGTAAAGCTACGTTCCATAAGCAGTTTATGGACGTCAGTGCAGGAATTAAACTTAAATAGAAAATGATAAGACACAGAGTCACAGTGCATCCCCAGACTTCCAGCTCACCAAAGGCAAGCCGAGGGAGCAATGAGGTAGAAACAGTCAAACCCACCTCCTGGTCTCTGAAGTTGTCACACTGGAAAGTTGTACCAAAGCAGATGAAGGAAGCTGGGTGTGTTGACAGCTGGTGGGCAGTTTGTAAAGCCCAGCTGAACTGCAGCAGCACAGTGCTGGCCGCGGAAGGTCCACCTGAAGATGGTTGCCAACAACATTAAAAGGAAAACTGGAGAGGAAGACGTGGTGCTAGCAGCTGGCTCTCCTGGAGCAGCTTGTCAAACTTCTTTCCTGATGTGAATTTGGCTGTTTCCATCAATAGAGGAGCTCGGGCCTCAGTGTCTCTGAGAGTGGCTGCGGTTCACGTGGGGGAGCTCTGGTCTTTACTTTGAGCATTGCTTCTTGGCTCTGGTGTGCTGTTTGATCTCCTGGAGAAGCTGGTCACACTGGCTTCCTGATATGAACTCAGCTATTCTCATGATGCTGGAGCGTGGGGCCTCATCACTGAAGATGCTGTGGCACTTTTGTGGGGAGCTCTGATTTTTATTTTGAGCATTGCTTCCTGGCTACAAAGCAGATCTCTCAGCCTACTGGCAGAGAACCTTCATCCCACTGGCACACATTGTAGCTTCCATTACTGACCTCTGGACCTTACCAACACAGATCTGTGAAACATATTTGCATGAGACATTGTTATGAGCTCTGGTCTTTAGCTGGACTCATGCGGAA